ACTTTACATGAATTAAGTAATTTGTATGGTATTGCTGTTTGGTGCATTTGTGTCCCTATTCAGTGTACTTCTTCAGCGTTTCAACCCCACGGATGGTGAAGGCAGGTGCATGGCAGTAGCCTACAAAACCAAGGAAAAGCTCTATGGGGAAACTCTTTTATGTCCTTCTATATTTGAATTTGTAGTCCCTTTCCAATTACTGCACTAATTGTTTAAGAGCTTGCTAGAATAAAAAAGTTTTTAATCACTAATCTGTTTTTGAAAGGACTTATGGGCTCAGAACCTGAACTACATACTTTTTAAATTAATTTTCTTCATGAATACTTCTTGCTCAATACAGATTTGTGAGTCAGAACACCCCACTGTGCTTGTTCCTTTGTCTTTTCTTCAAACACCTGGCTTATTATTCTCTCTCCCCTCCTTTTCTTTCCTACAATGAAATTGCTCTTTCTTTGTTGACAAGGTTCTGATAATATCATGCCACTGGAAATACGGAAATTTACCCCAACTCCTGTATTACCGGAGTTGGATTTTGGGTCGGAAACAAGTTAAACTAAATTGACAATTACACATTTTTTTAAAGCCAGATGAGAGAAATCCGATAGAAATGCTCGCCAGCTGTGATGTGAGAGCTGTCAGTATGCTGTAGGATCGGGAGATGAAACTCTCCGAGCACACCGAGTGCAAGACAGAGGGCAATGAGACAGAGCAATGAAGCTGAGCTTTTTCAAAGTGGGAAAGGGAGGTTTTAGATAAAGGGATGATGTGCCTAAGTTCCCTACGCTGCTTTGAGGCTCTCCCGCAGCATTTTGTTTGGCATCCAGAGGAAATGAAGCAAAACCAGAAGGCGGTTCCAGTCCTTGGTGAAGTCCAGAGCACCATTCCCAGTGACGTCACCCAGAGCAGAATTAGGCTGGCAACAGGAGTCTTCAATGCTAGAGCAAAGAAGAGGCATAGAGCGGATATGTGCAAATGTAACGAGATCGGGGTCCTCGCCCCTTGCCCACAGGCCACTCCTGGCACTGTCATCCGGCCCACTCAGCTCCCCGCAGGTGGCCCCGGGGGCTAGACTGGGCATGCAGGCTGGTGCTGGGCCCAATCCTATCACGTGGGGCTGGTGGGCAAGGGCAATAAGGGGCCCGATCTGGCCTGCGGATCAGCCCTGCACCATTCATCTGATCCGAGGCCAAAACTTCCAGCACTGCTGACCTAGGTCATGGAGAGTTTTGCCAACATACGGACTGTAGGGTTTGGTCCCTTAGGCAAATAGAGGGTTTGCAAACAATTGGTTTGTCCAGAGCAACAAGCCTTCTGCAGGACGACTGACCCGTTTGGCACGTGGTAGGCTGTTCTTCACACTGCATTGCAATAAAGGGACAAAAGTAAATAATAAAATATGGCTCCTGAGGAGAATGCGAACACAGGTGCAGCTATGCATCCAGACCCAGAGCGCAGTCTGCTTTAAATGTGTGAGCAAAGCAGCAGTGTTGTGGGGAGCAGGCACTCTTTACAGGGCAGAGGTGTGTGCTTGCAGCTTTCTGTTAACCATCAGCTGAGGCTTGATGCAGTCATTTCAATGGACTTTGGATCAGGTCCTTATATCCACCCCAGTGACTGAGAGAAGGCACCCCAGCACTTCTCAAATGAGACTTCAGTGGCAGCATATGTATCTTGTTTGTGCTCAATCCCCTACTGTCCATGCTGTGGAGGAGAGGGTAATAAGCTAAAGCAGGCCATCCCCCTCTGGGGTTTATTGAGTTAAATAGTCACAGGTAGGCCTTAGAGTCCCAAACCCTGTGTGGTTTTGGTTACAGATGTGTGTTGATTCCTACACTGGTTTGAAGTGCTGTACCTCCAGATTGACTTCCATATTATTATTAGCTTGCACAGCTGGTTGTTCACTTCCCACAGAAGAGTGGAAACTTTCTGCAAGGCTCATTAAAGCAGAGAAAATTAAATCAGTTTTTAAATCAGTTCTTTCCCTGGTTTCCAACCTAGGCAAGATGGTAGTGAGGCAAGTTCTGGAGCCGTACCTTTTGGGAGACGTGCAGGGACTGATCCCTGGGAGGTGAATGTGGTGCAGCTGCACCCCCTTTTTGCATGCTGCTCCACCCAGACTGCAAAACCCACTGCCTGGAGGGGCAGCAGCATTTCTGTTCAGACAGTGCTGAGGGAGTCAATTGACTTCATGGCTCATTATCATCTACCCGACCCCTGCTAATATCTCTTCATTCCTCAGGTGTTAATGCCCCTTTCTCTTTCCTTTGTAATGGTCTTGATGTTCCACTATTCAAACTATCCTTTCTTCTGCAGTTTTACTGTCTGTTAGCCATTCCTGGTAATGTCTATTTTTTGCCTAGTTTAAACTTAATATAAAACTTGGCAAATTACTGCACATTGCCATAAAGTTAAATTTGTTTTTTTGCTTTGATCTTAAAGTGAATAATGTAGTGCTTGGACCTTCACATACTAGTGAAGTTTCTAGCTTCTCTTGGACTGGAGAAAAAGGTGCGTGTTATATGTGATGGTGCATCACACCTCTGAAACCCCCCTTTTCAAAACCTTGATCTGTCCATGGAGATATGATAGGCTGTTTTTCACCCGTGTGGATTGGCAGCTATCAGAAATCCCTGTGGTCCTCTCCCATCTGTAATGTGATGAGCACATAATCTTTGCAATTACTTTTTGTGTTGGCAAATCCCAATTGCATGAGATGCTATGCAAACATCTGGCCCATGTGGAGCTCATGGTGCAAGTGGAAGATGTCACTGACGGGTGGGTCTGAGGAGGAAGCATGAATGCCCTGTGGGTGATGCTGGTCAGGAGGACAGGCAGTGACTCAAGCCAAGCAGCTGCCTGTTTGTAACTGAGCTATTTGCAAGCCTTATGGTACAAAAGAGTTGTAGGAGGGCATTGAGGACAAAAGTGGGGCCTTGTAGATGCTTGTCTGGGGCTATTCCCGCATACAAGAGCAGCATGAAAGTGTTTTAATCATAACAGCGAGATCTAAAAAGGTGAAGATTTTTCCCACCTCTACAAAAAAAAAAAACCCAACTGCACTGCTGGTTTCGCCTCCCAAGAGCTTTGTTTCCTTGCATGTAACATGACATATTGGTACTCGCCTTTAAAGTCTGTGGCTGAAAAGCACAATAAAGGAGTGAGGTAGTAATGCAAAAGCAATTCAGGGCAGGAGCTAGATAAAATAATTTGGGGTTCACTGTGTGATTGACCCACCCTAGGGAAACCTGTCTTTCCGGGCTTTGGCTGACTTGACTCTGACTGCAGATAGATGGAGGAGAGCCTTGCCCCTCATTGTAGCTAGTAGCCAAACATAATTGCATACAAGTAGCCAGAGAGGAGGATAATGCTCCAGGCTACAGAACCAGCAAGATGCCTTGAACGTCAAAGAAAAATGCTGTTAACTTCCTCCTTTGTTTTACTTCCTATGGGGAGGCATTTACCTTCCCATTACCCCATTACAAGGGTGTTTTTCTTACCACTTATTTATTTTTCATTGTGAACATTTCTCAAACAATTATGCCTAAGTACTCACTGAAAGTCACGTGAGCAAAGTAACTTGCTTTGTTACTTTGGGCCGTGCTTGTTTTTGTGAAAGGCACGCTGGCCTAATGGTTATGAGCATTCATGCAGAACCCTACCTGCACCAGGGAAGCGTATTGTACTTCAAAAGTCAAACTCCTCCATGTAACCACTGAGATGAAAGGAATGACGTGGGTGAATTTGACCCAGCGGGTTAAATTTTGGCCGTGTCGAATTGAGTAACAGGATCAGATTGCAATGGGGCTGGGATTTCACCCATTATGTTGACATGCAGGACTGTCTTTTCCAAACGCTATTTTTATATGCTAATTACTTTGTGGGCAATGCTGATAATGATGATATTTGAGAAGACTAGTTGGATTATTTTTAATTGCAGATTCCTCTTCTGAGTGGATGAGAGAGAGGTTCGCTACGGGTAATATCAAATATGTCTAGCATTTGTCGGCATGTCTTGCCATCTTATTTTGAACAAACAGGATCTGAACAGAATTTTCTAGCATTTCACCACACTGATATTAATTAGAGAAGAGCAGGCGCCATGGAAAGGCACACCAGTTGAGCACTATTAACCTACTTTACAAAGGCTAATTCAGCAAATGGCCAGAGTTGGAGTGGGTTATGTGCTGCGATGCCAGCTAGAAGCAAAAGGGGTGAGAGGCGATGGCTGGAGCCCTTGTGAAGGGAACGCATTCAGGGGGTTGTAAAAAAGGTACAAATTGCATCACTCCTACAGTCTCCTGCTGGTTGACCCAGAGTGAGGCCAGTCTCAGCTCAAGTAGTTTGCTTTTGCAGAAGTGAAATGAGTCGCCTTCCCCAGCAGTAGCTATTGAAAAATTCCTTCTGCTTTCTCCTTTATACATGTACATGACCTAGAGTTATATACAACTCTCCTGAAGTCAAGTGTGTAAGCCAGGATGCAGCAGATGTGGCGGTAGAAGAGGAAATGAACTGGCCAGTCTGAATGATCACGTAGGCGCCTATGTAACGTATAGCATTTTGATACGATTACGGTTTAGAGAAATCTCAGAAAGCGGAGATGGAAGAAGGTAGATGGCCTGTGCTCTTGGCTCAGAATCAATGCAATCAGGGCTGCTACAGGGGACAGGTTTAGTAATTTATGAGTTGTCCAGTGACCTCAATTGATAGAGTGGGAAATTCAAGGGGAACTGAATCGTTCTCTGGACAGTAAGTGAATGTAGTGCATCAAAATGGTCTCAGAATAACAGGTGAGCCACAGGCAGCAGCAAGAGATTCTGCACCTTGTTTATCACTGTGCAACCCTCAAAATCTGTGTGAATGAGCCTCTGGGAAGGAGACTGAAGGCCTCTCAGCCCTCTGACTCTCTGCTGTGAATAGCAACTTACAATTAGCACTTCTAGCTCTTTAATGTTTGCAAAGTGTTATGAACGTTTAATTGGTCCCCACAACAGCCCTGTGAGGTAGGCAAGCCATCTGTGAAATGGGGAAAACACTACTTACCCTCATTCAGAAAGCAGTGCGAGGCTGAATGGTCAAGAGTAAGCTTTCATTTTCACAGCATTGGTGGGACAGTTGCAGCGCACAGGTTAAATGGCTTGTCTAAGCAAGGATGGAGCGCAGTATTTCTGTAAACTGAACTCATGCTTAAGGTCCTCAATCTCTACCATCTCCCCTCCCCCCCAATAATAATATTTTGAAAGGACATTGTTTTTTTAATAATTCCACTGATAACCTGAATAGACTAAGAGATAACATGAACTTTGAGAAATGTACAAATAGTCAGAGCAAACTTAGTGATCTGGGATTATTTGCTATTAGTTGTGCTAAAATATTCAGTCACTTCATAGTTAAAACTGATGTCAACTCACCATTCTCTAATCGAATTACTGACAACACGCAGCACATAAAGAACTTCTGTTTACAGAACACACGTCTGGATTTACAAAGTGATCCACAGTCAAAAGCTCAAGTTTTGTTATTAAAACATGGCCGCGTTGAACATGAGCAAACATCTGTTTATTTTAGTTTGAAAAGCGATACATTTTGTACAAACCTAGATCTGAATCAAAACCCGATATTCAAAACAGTCCATCCCTCATTCCTGCTTAGTCTGTCAGCTTTGTGAAATGTCACTGGCATTTGTACTTCAACATGAAGTGTGATCTTCAAGTTAAGAACATACCATGTACTGATCTTAGGACTAAGTTTCTGCAGCCGAGTTCCTCCCCAGACATCGTTGCTCACAGTGCTTTGAAAGCTACTAACGTTCTTACTACAACGGTTTGAACCTTTGTTACTTCTGCCTGGTGTCCTATGAGCTTTCGCTGCAAACTCCTTTATATTACACTTGTTTATATAAAAGAGTCGATTCCTGATTTTTACTTTTGTTATATCAGAAATTCACTGAATAGACTCAATGTCCATGGCACGTTTGCTATGACATCGTCTGACTTTAGTATATAAAACAACAGAGCCTGTTTTCTTTCGGCAGGGTTAATTTCCATCAGTCCATTTTGAAGACGGAGGAACTACGGATGAGTGGGGTTTTTAATGTGTTCCTATACTGCTGCATGGACTTATGGGAGAAGGCATTTGCTTTCTCCTGCGTGCCTGCAGTCCGTGGGGAAAGTTTCTAACGAAGTTCTTTGTTAGTGTTTGTAAGACTGGATATAAGGTTTAATTGAGGGATTTGTGCTGAATGTTCTTTCGCTTTGAGTCTTAGTGCTGCAATGCTGGACGTTTTCCTTTCAACTGCTGCCGGATCAGTGAAGGCGGTGAGAGCAGGGTCTGATGGGGGTCCGGGAGCTTTCATTACTACTGACGCTGTTGTCATGAGAGGATTTAGAGCATTGAGGAACCTGTATTTGGGGGGGGGAAAAAGTCTAATATTACACAAGCTGAGAATTACTTACAGAATGAGCCTTAGCTTTATTGCCAAACCTCAGAACAAAAATGTACTGAAGGAGTTAAATTTTTCTTTTTTCTAACGGCAACTTTGATTTATTCCCCAAACTTACTTTTTCTGGAAAATGCAAACTTTACTTAGTATGGGATTCAATTCTGCTTTCCTTTGACATTCCTTCCTAAACCCTGGATGCAGTTTGATATTCAGAGCCCTGCACTGCATGGGGCTAGTAAGAAGAGTAAGACATGGTAAGAATATGGTAGCATGCTAAATCCCTCTCAAAACAAGCCTCGTAACACTGTAGACCAGCACGCTCTATGGAAACAACAATAAAACACCTCAATAAAGGAACAGTTTACGGGCCTTTGTGCAACAGATTTGTTGTGACAAGTTATTTCATGCGAAAAGCAGCATAAATCAGCGTGGCAGAAAGTGCTGCTTGTTAATCCGAGGCTGTGACACAGGCTGTAATTTTAGAAGGGAGAGGACCAGCTTATCTGTGTGTCGAGCCAGCATAACGGCAGGTCTCGGTGGATACATTTCAGGCCTGGGGGCAGGCAAAAGCTAGGAGCGAATCCTTAGCTGGTGTAACGTGTTGGAGTGCAATGAATATCTCCCCCCAAGTCTTCAAGGTGGGGAAAACAGCCAACCTTAACCTTGGGCTTATTGTGGCCTATGGCATCATGCCCACTGCAGTGGGGCAGGGCTGGGTGTATGGTCTGCAATAACAGTAACATTAACTGTACGACTGTGGCCCTGACATTTAAAAGGCACCAACCTCTTCCTTTGGTCCCATACAGACAAGCCCATGTTCTCATCTACTGGGTGGGAATGTCTAGCATCCCCCTCTGTTTCAGGGGCAGGAAATTATTTTGGGCGGAGGTCTGCTTACTGAGTTTTGGCAAGCCATTGAGGGCCGCATGACAGGCAGCCAGGGGCAGATAAATATTAATTTTCTAAATTTTTTTAGGGGCCCCATGGGCCGGATAGAATGGCCTAGCGGGCCGCATCTGGTCTGCCGGCTGCGTTTTTCCCACCCCTGCTCTATTTGGTAGAGCTACTGTGAGCTAATATCTGTCTGCTCTTGGAGATATTAAGATGTGCAAGTATGCAGCAGTGAATGTAAGATCAGAAGGAAATCTGTGCTTATTCCATATTAGAAGTCAGTCATGAACACCATGATCCCAGAATCAACAGGCCCAGGATTTCACCCAATTGTGCTGTAAACAGACTTCAGTTTGGGGTACTGGTTAATGTAGGACCAAATACAGATTGTCTTGTCCCTATAGCAAGTTTCTTCTGTTAATTTAAATACTGAAACTCACTTCATCATGGTACAGATCAACTATTTCCTCCTATAAAAAGATGACTTTTTCAACTAGTTTTATATTTAAATGAATTAAATATCATTAAGGGGCAACTGAGAGACTCCATACCTTCCAAAATGTGGATTTAAAATCGGATTCCTGAAGAGAGATGTCCAGGTGAAGCTGCTGAGTCCAAAAGGCCCTAAGGATGCCGGGCTGAAAGCTGGTGATACAGAGGGTACAGCTAGAGTTGACAGCGGGAATGATCTCCATGTGTGGTCCAGAAGAGGAGACTGGCTTAAAGGAACATCCAAGAAGAGACCCAAGGGATGTGCCAAGGAGACACTGGGAACATTCCCTAAAATTTCTGTTTTTTCACGTTTCCTCCATTTTGCCCTTCTGTTCTGAAACCAGACCTTGGAGAGACAGATTACAGGATTAGCTACGTTCTCGTTGGCGTTGCTTCTGTCAATCAGAGGAGGCAATGTGCACACAGAAAAGGAGTTATTGTATAAGGACAGTTACTTCATATTAAACTTTCAGTTTACAAAGGAATAATGCATACAAGCATGTTAGACTGGAACAAAGAGCGGTGTCAAGAATGGTGTTATGGAAGTCCTAACAAGCAACCCGTTGACCAGTTTAAATTTGTCGGGTCTAACAGCTGCTAACTGAATTGCTACTTCATGCAACTCTTTACCAAAACTGAAGAAGCAAAATGCAACAAAAAATTTAAGAGTGGCTGCCTCACTTCGTGAATTTTAAGAAGTAACTTAATCGTGAATGTGACAATGGGGTGGCACAGACTGAGTATGGTTTAAAGGTTTAGAAAGTTTGACTATCTATTTAGAGAAGGATTTTGAAAGAAAAAAGTTTTGAGAATTCTTTTGCCTTGCTTATCTGCCATATATAATCATGTAAAATTGATTAATTTACCTGTTGTGCCAGAGAAATTCAGATTGTTTGAACCTTCAATAACCAAGAATGAACAGAACATGGAGACATGGAGTTCTTAGAAAGGGACTTTGGGTAGGAAATCATAGAAAACGAGCGTTGGCAGGAGACCTCAGGAGGTCATATCTAGTCCAACCCCCTGCTCAAATGCAGGACCATCCCCAAGTAGATCATCCCAGCCCAGGCTTTGTCTACCCTGGTCTTAAAAACCTTCAAAGGATGGAGATTCCACAACCTGTTCCCGTGCTTTACTACCCTCCCAGTGAGAGAGTTTTTCCTAATATCTAACCTAAACTTCCCTTGCTTTTAAAAGACTTGAGCCCATTGCTTCTTGTTCTGTCATCTGCCACTGCTGTGAACAGTCCAGCTCCATCCTCTTTTGAACCCCCCTGCAGGTTGTTGAAAGCTGCTATTAAGTCCCCCATAGTTTTCTCTTCTGCAGACTAAATATGCCCAGTTCCCTCAGTCTCTCCTCAGAAGTCATGTCCCCCAGGCCTCTCGCTATTTTTGTTGCCCTCTGCTAGACTTTCTTCAGTTTGTCCACATCCTTTCTGCAGTGTGGGGTCCAAAACTGGACACTACTCCAGGTATGGCCTCACCAGTGCCAGATAGAGGGGAAGAAATCACTTTTCCCTGTGTGCTTTTAGCCTTCTTCTCAAGAGCACACTGTTAGCTCATTCCACCAATTTTCCACAGCGAACCCCGGGTCCTTTTCTGCAGAGCTGCTTAGCCAGTTGGTCCCCAGCCTGTACTGGCACGTGGGACTGTGTGGTTAATACTGTGTCATACTTTTGCCGATATAAAAAAATAGCTTACTATCAATCATGATCCTGTGTTGTCCACTATTTTAATCTGCCAAGTATGTTTTTAACATTCTTAGTAAAGTTAAGCAACAGGTAAGTCAACCTAAGCTGTAGACTGATGCCACACTTCATTTTGTTGTAATTCTGACAGTTTTGAAGTACCCTCTCCCGGGTCCCAGGAAGGAAGTACACAACAGAATTCCCTGCATATGCATTGTAAAGTAGGTTTTTAAGCCCAAATATCACATATGAAGGCTCTCCACCTTAAACTGATAATCCAACTTTTCTCAAATGTTTAAGTGTTGTTGCTCAGGCCTTTGGGCAGAGATGTTCAAACTCAAACTAGACTTGCATTTAGATGAAAGGTTTTCATTCAGGTCCATCATCTCATTCCTTAGGTCTTTAATTTCACTGCTACTGAGATTCAAAGAGTCATTCACAGAAATGATCATATATGTATAGTGTGAAATATCCTAATTGGGAGTAGATGCTGAGAATGTTTGACTATATAGGGAAGGATGTCAACTCTTTGAAAACTGAATTTGTCCCATGCAAAAATTATGAGAGAGTCTGAAATTCCCTTTTTATCCAAATGAGGATATTAAAAAAAATAAAATCCAAAAGCAACAATCTGGATGCTTATTGTGGGATGGTAAATTCTGAAGTATTTAATCTCCATAAGGGTATTTTGATATTGCTGAAAACTTTTGTTTCAACATTAAAATTACATATAAAATTGAAAAACACATACTAGTTCGAGTTAGTCAAAATCAAAACATGCAGAATGAAAAACACGTTGAAAGAAGAATCCAAGTGAAGTCCCCCATTTTAATTTGGATCCTTTTGAAATGTACTGAGTTTCATTAAAATAAACCTATATTCCTACAAACTTTTGATTTGGAAGAAACATGTTTTCTCAACAGAAAATCGTTCTGCTATTTTTTTCAGCCTGCTCCGTTTAACAGTCACTCCTTCCACCTACAGCAACATGAAACTACTGCAAGTAAGTGAATCAAAACATTCCTGCGTGTAAAGAGTAATTGGCTTTTAAAAGTACGTGAGTCCTATTGCAAGATGCTTGCCATTATTTTTATTAGTCTGCTAGCATTAAAGCAATTATACTCTTGCAATTGTAGAAGAGCTGACTGGGAGTCAGGACTACTAGATTCCTCTCCCTGCCGCTGGCTCACTCTGATCCCAGCTGCAGTAATTTTGACTTTGTAAGAATATTTTGATGCCTAATTAAAATAGAGGAAGTAGTGCAGAGAACTTCTCATTTGTACAGGACTTTTTTTTCTTCAGAAGCTCACACCGATTTCAATGGCAAATGATATAGCAGCCCTACTCATATGGACCTGATCCTGTTCTTACCGCTGTCAGTAGCAACTCTCTGAACTCAGTGGGAACAGACCTCTGTTAAGTTTAATCGAACGACAACCTGTAAGTTTTTATATAAGCCTAAAACAGATCCCTGCACAATATAGGTTCCAAATGCTTGTTCGTGGAGACCTAAAATAGCAATTAGTGACTGGAGAGCATTGTTAGTCTAGTTAGGAATATTTTGTGGAAGACTAGTAAAGACACAAAGTGATTCGGTTGTAACTGTAACAGCTAGCCTGGGTTGTTACTGTGGACTGTGTTTAGGTTACTGTTCAGGTCAGTCTGTAATAAGTCTGGCATCTGGAATGGAGGAGGAGACAATGACAGAACCTGGCACAATAGTACTGAACAAATAATCTTGGTAACACAAAGCCAAGTACCACAAGCTGCTAAAGGTCAAACTTCTCATGGGGAAAATCTCAACTAGGGAAATGCTGAAAAAGTCTTAAAAACACAGATAAGAAAGGGGAACAGGAAAAACAGGTACATTTTAGTCTTAATTCAGCTTCAGTCACCTGCTAAACGGCTCCTAGCAGATAAATGGCTAGTTTACAGGGATTATTGGTTAGTAAAGATTATCAATCCCGTGCCAACAAGCATTGTAAGTGGCTGCCCAAATGAGTATCTTATTGCAGCTCAAAGGACTACAGAAACATAACAGAGTAAAAAGTTGTTGTTTTTTTTTACCTTAATGCTAAAGTAATTCCTTTAAGTCATACAATTTCTTGCAGTGATATGTATTGGGACTGTAATATCACTGCATTTCTGACTGGTCCAAGTGATTTCAATTGATTCTTATACTGTATTTAACAAGCTGGATTTAGATTCTCAGCACAGAAGAGAATATTTAGATTTAAGAGCTCAACTTTGAGCACTTGATCTGGGCAAGACCCTCAATGACATGAAACACATCTTACCTTTAACTGATACTGTACACATTAATGGCTCTCCATGCTTTAGCCTGTATATTAATTTAAATACCATTCAGACTATATTCAACCAAAGCATCACAATAAATTATTCCATCTTCTCCTGGCTGTAGAGGTAAACTGCTTTTAAAAAAAGTTTAGTTTCACATTTTTAAAATGAGACACGTCCTTCAAGTTAAACATGTGGCTATGCACACCAGCACAAACTCATGCTGTCATTTAGCTGAGCATGTCCTTCTCATTGGCTATATGCCCCCTAAATTGCACATTAGATACATCTGCCAGTAAGGAAAGAGGACGAGTTGTAGACTTGGATCTTATCCTACAAACAGTATTCCCGTACTGGACCTTTCACTTGAAAGTTTGGTTATTCTTCATAACCCAAATGGAAATGTGCTGAGCATTTAATATCGACTCAAAACTTAGATTTATGCAGTTTTAAGAGGGGAACCCCGGTGTCAGACCTTGGAAGACTTTAAATGCCTTAAACCCCCCCCCCCCATGTAAACAAGAATACTTTCAGGCTGAAATGAAACAAAGACCAAAACTGAGACTTTTTTTTTTAAGTTATCCACTGAAAATGGGAAACTTGCAAGTAGAAAAGCTGTATATGACTAGCCATAATGCACCATGTTTCATGGATTTTAGCATCATTAGCAAACAATACAAGGATGCTTAGGCCAATTCACTGTAATGCTTATTACATTAGAAATGAGTATTTTTATTTCTCTGCTATAGCTGGGGAAAAGTTATAAACTTTATAAAGTAATGCTTTATAAGATTCAGGGTGCTGAAGGGGCCAGGTGATGTTCCTAACTTTTCCCATGTTAAGATGCATTGTTTTAATGACTGCTTCTTTCTCCCCAGACCAATGATCTCCACTAAAAAGAAGCACAAACTTGCCAACAGAGTACTGACTCAGACTGAAAGCCCACAAATACTAAGATTTCCAAATTGTCAAGGGATGGAACAACACAG